ATTTTGTACTTTGTATTTATTTAAATTCTTGTACATTAATACTCATTCAATATGGTTGTAATGGACTAATTAGGTTTACAATTCTTGCAATCCCCATTCAATTTGCACACCCCCTCCCCACAAATGTTGTAATAGCGTAGTAACTTTAAAATTCCGCAATTTATCGCTTTTATATATAAATGCTAGTAATTAGGGTTTGTGTGGAAAGACTAAAATCAATACTTAGAAAATCCTAATTCAAGACAAAAGCAAGCATGAAAACAATACATTTGCATAAAAGCACCTCTAGGGTTATTCCACTTGGTTGCCTTATACAAAATGGCCATATTACGCATGTAATGTATCTTAGCCAAAACAAGCAAATACAAGATCATAGTCCCTCGATGACGCTATCTAAGTTGCCTTACAAATGATCTTAGTCCCTAAAAAAGAATGCTAACATACCTTGCAACATTGTTAATCATGGTTATACGATGACCCACGCCCGTCCCGTTTATATCCAAAGATAGGGTTGCTTACCAAATCAATGGTAAGACAACAATGTCAAAGGAAAAGAAAATGAACAAGAAAGACATTTGAGTAGGTAGATTGCTCCTAATTACTTGCTCCATTTCAAAACAAACATCCTTGCTATTTTAAAAAAAAAACAAACACTTACACTTTCAAAACATCTTACAAAACTTGAAAACATTTTCAAAAGATCAACATCTTTGTATACATTATTACGAACGAGAATCATTACAAAGATTGCCTAAACAAATGGCCTCTTTAAAAAATACTTTCAAAAACCACACAAAGCATAATTTCAAACAAAAGGAAATGATCTAGCAAGTAACTAAGAGCCCATGGATAACCATGGATGAAAAGGGTGCTAATAACTTCCCTTTTCATAATCTACCCTCCGAACTCAAGAAATAATCTCAAAGGTCTTTCCTGTGCTTTTTCACCTTTTCTTTTGGATAAAAGAAAAGTCGGTGGCGACTCTTGCTAACCGCAACATTTGCGATCAAACGCAAAACCTTTAAGTGAGTTCTCCCACCGTATCACAGAAGTGTATGTACATTTTGTGCCATGTAATTTTTCCTCACATTAAACACTTTGAATTGAGTTTTATTTGTAAAGATTTATTTTACAAAAACTTTCTACAAGTATCTTACTTTTTATCTTAATTATAATTATATTTATTATTATTTTTTTTATTATTATTATTATAATATTTGTTTGTTTGTTAGAATAAGAAAATGTAAATATGGACTAGAAAATATGCAAAATATTATTTTTCTCTATTTTCTTTCTTCATTTTATATACTTTTAGGTTATAATGAATAAAATTTTTATGATTTAAATTTATGTTTCATCCTTTAAAAAATAAATGTATGTTTCATAATGTTGCAATGCATTATTCTCTTGTGCTTTCTAATCAAAAGGTTATAAAATATAATGATTAAGAATACATAATTTTAATATTGTGTTTTATTAGATAAATATGTGTCAAATATCTTAACGTCAAAGTGACACATACAATCTACACTCTGAAAAAACTTGTTTTTACAATTAATTAGACTCATAAAACAACATGAATTTATTGTTTATAGTCTATAAAAAATATTGAATTTATCAATACTAAATTAAAAAAGGTCTGTTAAATTTTTAAGCTTATAAATATATTCAAGAAATCAAATATAAGTAGTCGTTTAATATACAATTTCCTACTTATATAACTGTTTAAAAATATTTTTTTTATATTTATTTGATATAAAATAATATTATACTATTTATTATACCAATTATAAAGTGTAAATAACCTATAACCAATCAATACTATTCACTATACCAATTGTAAAGTATAAATAACCTATAACCAATCAACAAAAGAAAAAACAAAAACTGTAATAGAGTCAACTCTCTTTTATTTTGTTGAAAACTCATTATAAAAAATATTTCAACACGGTCAAGTATTACTAGTTATTCTACTACTACATATTGATATTGTCAAGTCAATCTCTCTGAATAAATTGTTTATTATTATTACCATCACAAATTTAAGAGATTGTGTCTTTCATAAATACAACATGAATGTACTATTTATACAAGTTTAAGAGGCATGATTTTCATAAATAAAAACTTATAACATTTTTTTTATTTATACAAGTTTAAGAGGCATGATTTTCATCACTAAAAACTTGTAAAACAATTATTTTATTTTAAATTCTTTATTGGTAAAAATTTCTCTAACGATAAATTTTTTTATTTAATTTTTAAATAAAAATTTTAATTATGTTTAAAACATATAAATATTAAAATTTTGAAATAAAAAAAGGCAATTAGAGTGCAATTGTGTCTTTCTTTTACTATGTCTTTTAATATATGATTTTTCAGTTATTCTATTTTATTTATCTAAATAAATAAATAAATTTTAATTGTTTTAATGATATGAATAATCAATAATATTTTATTTTTTTAAAATACGAAAGTTTTCATTTTAACTTTTATCACATAATATAGGTTTATGGTAGTTTGATTTGAGGAGAACTAATATCTTATACCATTTAGTCATTATTCAATAAATATGTAGAATAATGTAGAAGATTCTAGATATTAAATAGAATCATGCAATTCTATCATGCAGGGGAAGGATTGTTTGTTTTCTTTCTAAGTTATTTCAACATTTATAGGAAATAATTAGTCCTTAATTTATAGGCATAGATTGATCCTACACAATTCTATTTTTAGGTATGTATAGAAAATAACATTTATAATTGTTTTAATCATTAATAAGAATAAATTCTTTCCTGCATGGTAAAAGAGCACGTGAAAAAAAATAGGAGTACGTCCAAAAATAGAAACCGTTGCAATTTTGTCTAGCTCATGACAAGGACACTTGTCGCACTGTGAAAAATTATATAGTCGCCACCGAACTTTATTTATTTTAAAGGAAAGAGAAAATATAGATAAAATAAGAAAATCAGAGACACGTAGTTCGTGGATTGAAAATAAGTGTTTGTTGGTTGTTTTTATTGAACGATGTTAACGTCCGCGTTCTAGCAATTAAACATGTTTGTATGCCCACGCGTGGGAGGCTTTAGTGTTTGTTTGTATTGTGGTAGAACAGAAATAACATGTTCTTTTTTAAAAAAAATTAAATGCCCTAAGGCAGAAAAATGAGGTTTGATTGATCGTGAATGATTTTATGCGGAGACAAGCCTTTGGACAGGGAGCTCTACAATAATATCCAAATACTCGGGAAAGGAAGAGCATGTGCCCAATCACTTTCTTTTTCATCCAAATATTTATTATGGAATAGGTGAGTATTGTCACATTTCTTTCATTAAAGATTTATAATTGATTAAGGAAGACATTGTCTTGAAACTAATCGTTCTTGAAGGTTTAGTTAATATTTTCAGGAAGCTTGCAAGATTGAGGTTGTTGTCATTAGTGCTGACAAATTTTAGTGGGTTTGATTAATATTTTCAGGATGCTTACAAGATTGAGGTTGTTGTCATTAGTGCTGACAAATTTTAGTGAAAAGAGTGAGGCTCTTCTCTCCCGTTGACCTTGATAGTGATTGTGTAGAAGACTACAAATTGGTGAAGCTGGAAGATTCGATAGTGAAATTATATTTGTTGGGAGATTCGATAGTGAAATTACATTTGTTAGGACATCTAGGGAGACAACTGTAACTATGAAGTACAACTATGTTTCTAATTGTAATAATGTCAATGAAGTGTGAGACACATTTGAAATGATCTATGAAAGCTCTATTATAATTTAAAAAAATGGAAAGGAAGAACACACTACACTAACAATTTGAAACACCAAATAAAAATAATAAAAAATATTCAAAAATGGTTGCAACCTAGTTACATTAAGCATTATCTCGGGTTTTGTTTGCAACATTTATAATGATATCAGAGTTTACAAGATAGCAATACTCTCTTGATTTACAAGGAAATCTCAAACATATTCATAAAAAATTAATACTCTCTTGATTTACAAGGAAATCTCAAACTTATTAATAAAAAAATTCTACAAGAACAACTTATACTAAGTGTTTCGTTCTCTCAGCAATAAAATAATTCTAAGTGAATATGAAATTATAAGAAAAGAGTGATAGAAAAGAAATAGCAATGTTCATATTTCTCGTGTGTTTTTCAATTGAACACGAGTTTTTCTTATATATTAGAAAATTTGGCTAAGAAAACTATTTAGGGAGAGGGAGACTAATTTGATATAGTTAAACTTAAAAGCTGCTGAATGCATTTTGCCTAAGACAACATAAAACATCCGAAAATATTAAGCAAGCACTACTGTAATATAAACTAACACGGGAGTGTTAGAAATATAGCTTGTAACTTGTGACTACTCTTGTTCTGTATTGGCAAAAATTACAGTAGTACCATCTCTCTCTGTCGGTTTTAAGGACAAAACTGTCTTAAACAATAGCTCTACAAAGTCAGGTAGCTTATGGCTTCTGATGTTCTAAACACATGAAATGTAAGAACCTTAACTAAAGAAAATGATACAATTTAAGAATCAATAAAATACCCCTAATCTTGGGACATACAAGTTACATTCTGCTCCCCATTTAGTACTTCTAAATTTCCAAGAGTGTGAAATCCTTCAACCAGTCGAGCATTTTGATTCCTAGGCTGAACGAATAATATACTAATATCCAGGGGGCAATGGCTACCTAAAAACAAGTCAAATATCATTGTAACCAAATTTTTATAGGAAGACCGGTGAAGGATATTATAAAGTACACCCTCCCGACACATTTATAAGCAACAAAAAGCTTTTTAGATTCATTGAATAATTGATATATCTGGTATATAATAATGACTAGATCCATCATTTATTGAATGAATCTAAAAAGCTTTTTGTTGGTTATAAACGTGGCCGGAGGGTGTATTAAGCATGGAAAAATATTAAACTGCAACATCACAAGCTGACCATAGGAAATAGTTTATAATGGAAATACTTACATTTGCTTGAAACAATCCTTACAAGAAACTTTCAATGTTGAGTTCAACAAAGGAGCAGGGATCAGGAATGTCGAAGTTGTTTAATACCTGGAAAAATACACAAGCAGAATAGTTTGTTTTAGATGTATATGACTCCAAGTACATATACAGAAGTAGTTGCGGACAGGGAAATACAATCTACTGCACAGGAAATAATTGACCATAATAAATCAAGATGACATGATTTCAGTGATCGTAGGTACCTCTGGATGAACAATGCCAAAAGTCCCAACTTGCTTTCCCTTGTAAATAATTCTAGCTTGTCTACCAGCAAGAAACTCAGGCTCCTTCAATAAACAGTTGAGTTCATAAACTTGAAATTAAAATCGGAATAAAGTGGTTTCTGAAAAAAATGAAAAGGACAAAATAAAACACAGAAAGATCCTGTTTAACAATATACACTTACATCTGACCGCTCAATATAATACCCTGATTTATCACCAGGTGAAACAAAGGTAATCCCATTCTTTTCCATTACTTTGTCCACTAATCCATGAATTATCTGCATATCATCATTGATAAATTTAAGTACAATAATCCAACTTATTATTCTGCTAACTGCGAGAAGTAGTGATATTTATTGTTAATAGTATCACACTTTTGTTAAATATAGCAAGCATAAATTAAATTCTAAGCTTGTCTGGATAGGAAAAATCTAGGAATCTAGGTTCGCTCATCCTTATCTGTAATCAATCATGTAGAGATACTGATGTATTTATTCAAAGAAAAAAAACCAAATAAACTGTCATCAAGTAAATACTTAATATATACCTCAAATCCTGCATTAGCACCACAGTACAGTGCAGCAAGTTGGCGTAGATTTTTTGCACCAACATCATTGTCATCCAAAATAGCTATATCACCCACTTCAAAAATCTGAACCAGAAGTTTTAGAAATATATTCATACAAGCTTACACCATAGTAGAGGGGAAAAATGATAAATTGAATAATCTGATGCAAACTGCAAAGGTAGTGTTGATCAATATGATCTGACTGAAGTTTAAATCTTTCAAAAGGAAAAACTTAAGTAATACCTTTATGGGTTTTGGGTGATCCTTATTGTGAGCAGCAGTTTTCAAAATGCCAGGCATAAGACTAGTCCGGACAGCCTGAATATAATATGTAAGGATATAAAAATAATTAAAACAAAAATATTAAACTAAAAAGAACAAATATGTAAGAATATACAAATCATGCAAAAAGATCAATACTGAAAAGAACCACATGAAGTTTTTCTGTTGTCATTGATATTAGAATACTGCTTGGACAGACATATTGCACTTAAAAGAGTTGAAGTGTATGAACCTCGAAGTCTGAAGATCTAGGGTTTCCAATGATAACCGCTTTGGATTTATCATCTTTGCGGTTTAGCATGGAGAAGTTTTCTTTTTTAGAGCAGAGTATGAATGTCAAAACCTCCGTGAACCCAATCATTGCAACCTGAAAAGAATTTGGAAATAAAAGGAATCAGGTAACCTCACTTCAAATAATTAACAATATCATTCAAGAATATTCCATGTAGTAATTTATTCTTAGTTTTAACAAACACAATAAACTGATTGGCAATATTTTATGGAAAATCAAAGCATGAAACTTAAACCTGCTTCAATCAAAGGAGTCACAAGATCTATAGTTTTGTTCTATACCTCTTTTCTGATAAGATCACTCAGCTCATTCAGAGGAAGCAGTGTCAAGGAAGCAGCTAATCTCTTTGACCCCTTATTATCAACTATTGCTTGATCCTTAATAGCATTGAATCCATAAGCAATTGCCACATCCTGTCGATAACAGAACCAAAAGAGGGATGCCTTGTCAGTAAAAACATATATGTAATAGATCCAATATGCATCCGTGAACGATCAAGCCCATCATCGTCAGTACCTCCATAACATCACATGGATGAAGGACATCACTTCTAGTAGGAGGTACAGATACAGTAAAGTTGCACTGTTTACTGTCAGATGTAGATTGCTTGGCATGCAATTGCATCCGATTTAAAAACTTGGTAACCTGACGAAATCAGCAAAAAGTTATGGAACAATGGCAATATTTGTTTCAGTTAGTTTCTACCATTAAACATAAGTATTGGATCTTATATTAGAGACAATAGACTGCACAATAAAAACCTAACAAGATAGAACTTCAGGTAATAATGACACGAACATATGAAGAACTCAATCATAAGAACTAAAATGACCAAACAAAAGAATACACAGTCACCCTGTAATATGTAAAAAGATTAAAAACAAAATTTACTGGTTGTTTATACACATGCAGACCTTAAGTCCAAAACATACATTTGAAGGTAAAAAAATTCAAGTTGTAAATTAAAATCAGGAAAGAACATCAGCAGAAAACTCTTTTAATTAAACATAAATAAATGAGGATAGCCGCGTTTATCTTACAAATACCTCGACATGTAAAAATCTATTATACTATAAGTATAAATCCTATTGTAAAATATAATTTATAAAGGATAGATCAATGGATGCCTCAAGCCTAATTAGTGCTGATAAAAAGCTTACAGCCAGTCGAAATTTATGAACAAAATATCTCATGTAAATTTTGCATTAGCATTATATAGGAAATAATTACCTCTTCTGCCTCCAAGGATACTCCAATCAATCCTGTAATGTAAGATAGAGAAACTTCCATATTGTAGACAGATAAATCAGGGTATATGTGAGATTTTCCATCAGAAGAAATCACTTCAACTGGTTCAATGACAAACTTATTTTCACAATATTCCGCAAAGGCTGTTACCTAAAAAAAGAATAGTCTGTCGTAACAAAAATATTATAACACCAAGAAAATGCAAACAAAAAAAAAAAGCAAAATTCACTTTTCTACCATTGTATTTAAAACAACTTTCGCCTTTGTCAGATCAGTAGCAGTGCATTCAATAAACACATTCTTTGTCTCCAAAGTGATGGCTGAATGTGCACCATTGATAATCGGGGGTAAAGACAAAACAGTTCTGTAAAAAAAATCATAGCATATCAATAACTGAATTCAACAACACATGATGCGACAACAATAGTGAAAATTAAAAAGGCCAAATGCCATAATTTTCTATTTACAAATGCAATCTACAGAAAATAGAGTAGGAGAAATAATTAAAAGCATTTCTACTAATTAACCTAACAAATTTAGTGGAAAAGCATCTCACTAAAGAATTTTGAAGGTTCTTTTCAATTTATGTGTCCATAAATGACTACTATTCATGTGTTTGTGTGTCATTATTAGAAATTCAAGGGTACATAAGCATCGAGTACTTAACTTTTTCGTTGATCAAATTTATTATGTATGTATGCCTTAAATCTGTAATATTTTAAATTTTATGAATTAGAATTTCAACAGATAGGGTATCTCATCTCCTGATAAACGTTTTATTAGAGAGGAGAAATAATACAACTAGTAGACAACGAGAAATCCCACTAATTAAATCAAACAACACAAAATGGCTCACTCGTCAAGCACTAACAGTGCAAAGTGCAAACAAGGATACTCATCACGTGAAATAGTAATTGGATGCTCTGATTTTAAAAACTTCAATATACTTCAGTTAAAAATTAATTTGTTAAAAAAAAAGTTTACTATATAGAATTTTAAAACATAATTTTTCTGTTTTGAAATTAAAAACATGATGAACATGTTTGAAAATAATTTTTCTTATTTACCATACCAGAAATTTTATGATTATACTTTGTTCATACATCCTGATCATTATTTAACACAATCTAAATTAGAATCATAACAAGCATTTTCTTACGCACCAATTGTTTTTGAACATTCACCCTCAATTTTATTACTAGTTTAGTTGTGATGTAAATTAGCATACATTCCTCCTATCAAAACATTTAAGTAATAATCATAATATCATAATATACTAACAAAGCTTTGTGATAGTATTGCCAAAATGAGAGTTAAAAGATTTCAAAGTTTTGCAAATTTTAATATGAGGATACGATGAAAATATAATACCTCTTACTATCATATAAAACAGGATAAACGGGAGAGTCCTCAATAATATGCAAGAATTTCTTCAGTTTCAAATCTGACTGTCAAAATTAAATAAAAAAAGTATTCAGATGCATCTCAAAGGAAGCATGTCCAAACAGAAAAATAAATAACTGAACACCTTGTTGAGCGGACTGGAATGACTCATAAACCTACTTGTGCTGAGTTTATAACAACTTAAGCTATATATATGAAGGAAGAAAACTTTATCCAAAAACTCACTTTGTAGAACTCCATGAGCTCATCAGCCTTGAAGCTCCTTTCCTACCATGTCAAAGAACAAAGGGAGGAAAATCATTAAAGTTTGAGCAGCAGCTTGATACATAAACTCATGGACCAATAAATATTTTTATCTTTGAGTACTACACGAGGGATTAAAGTCAAAACATGTTCATTTCATCAAAGGAGAATGTAGTAGTATGTGATTTCAATCGTATGCTTTTATAGAAACAGAATGTCTTAAATAAAAGCTACCTGTTTTAGAGGAGTAAAGTTAATACTCGAAGGTGGTAAAGCCTGAGAGAAAACATAAGAAAAATCAATATGCTGGGACCCAGATAACCAGATAGAATCAAATTGGTAAGAAAACGGAAATTAATTATTGAGATACATCTCTTGGCGAAATTGCCTTAGAAAATTCATATACAGGACCTGGATTTAATACCAATACACTAAATCCAGCAGCAACACATAGTACCTAAATGTCTTTCAAAATCTTAATTTTGTTAAGTTTTCTATTCATAATACTTAAAATTTTAATTCTCTAGAATTTGAAAGAAATCAACCTCATAGGTAAAAGGACCCTCAAGTTTATCCAGATCATGAGTGCCAATGGCCACAAGTGTCCTTCGCCTGAAAAAGAATGAAAACAAATTAATTGAAAATCATTCATAAAGTGCTGCGATATGAGATTACAAAAATGAATTAAAATAAACTGCTGAATAAAAAGGGAATCTAATTAAGAAAGGAAACAGTATTAATTGGAAATGAAAAGGAATCCAAATGCCACCTGCTAACAAGAAGAGTTTTCCAATTGTAAATAGAAAAGCAAAAGATTATGTGATAAAGAATTGATGTACAATATAAGGAGGAAAGAAAAAGGGCACACATGACTTTTTCTGTTGTTAAAATCATGTATGATATCAAAAACTCAATAAGGAGAAGGAAAGAAAAAGGGCACACATGACAGCATTGAAACTCACAGGGCTATTTTGGTTTAAAGAATCTAGAGGCCGTGAGAGAGAGAACGGAAGAAACAGAATTTAGTGATAAATTTGTTTTACAGGAAATGAGTCGCTATGGTACTTGTACATCTACATTGGCTTGCTTTGTAAACTATTCTTTCCACAGAAACTTACAACTGCTGTAACATTTATGTTGTCAATAGTGCGCCATGGCGTAATATAGCACAGCGATGGAAGGGTTCGGCCCGACGCTGTCTTTTTTTAAGGGTAACTTCAATTTGAATCCCTTTAAGAGTAATGTCTGGTTCTTCATTTTGTTATGTTCTTACTCACAAACAATCGTTTTGTTCTACTTTTTACTTTTAGTTCAGTTTTGTTCTTCTACTCTCTTTCAGTTTTAGTGCTCTATACATCAGGTTCTTTAACTATTGAGTATGATTGTCTATTTTTGCATATTTATGTTGACTTAGTACAAAGGTTCTTAGTCTTTCCAATGGTGGCTATCTTGCTATCCGCTATATCATTTTATGGGGTCGGTGCTATATGCAACGCTGTCAGAGGTTAACAACATAGAGTATGACAAACAACAATCAAATATTATCCCACTAAGTGGAGTCAGCTACATGGATCAAATTACGCCATAATATTCTATCAAAGATCATGTTTTTATACAACTCGTTAATCTAAAGATCTTTCTTAATAGTTTCTCTTATAGTTATTTGACTACTCTCCATATGATATACATTTAACCACTACATGAGCACAAAAATTATTTTAACATAGAGTAGCACTACAAAATTACACTTCAATTGATAGAAATCTAATACAGCAGTATTACTGACTAAAGATGGCTCTAGAATATCCAAGTAAACATATAAGAGCAATTACATCATTGATTTGGGAAACAGGTAGTGTCAAAGTGTGCAGCTCAAAACAAATAAAGCAGCAATTCAAATCACATTACCGACAAATATTTTGATGCAGCTTGTCTTGGAGGTCAATAAAGCTGTTGTATCTCGCCTTATCAAAAGTTATACCTCTCAATACGGCACATACAACAAAGGGACGAATCAAAGATGTCTGCAACAAGACAAGAAATAATTCATTTTCCACTTAGAAAAGGCTCATACTAAAAAATTTTGTATTCACAGCATATATAACTACCTCTGGCTTCACATGCATTTTAAGCATTTTATCCTTACTAATGTCAGACAATTTGTAAGTGGGGATTTCTTGAATCCCACAGAAAACTCGAAGGGCTTGAGCCAGTCCTTCGAGACAGAGTAGGTCATATCTGAGCAAAAAGTAAACAGGAGTTCAGTAAGACTTTTTGCTTTAAAGAAAACAATATTTTTTCCACATCATTTCGAATCTGCAACAAAGTGTGACAACCGTTCAAATGGTTACACAATCAAGTGACATTTGCAATTGCTGTGAGAAAATCATGTGCCACATCATTCACAATGAGTATTCAACCTTGTTTTCTAACAACAGAGAAGCCCTTTTGCATTAATTCCAATTTAACCGAGTATTATCAAGCTTGAATTTTTTATTTCTATCTCCACTTATGTACCCAAAGCTTATTAAAAAAAGTTAAAACGGTATTAAAATAAGTAATGAGTACAGAAAGGTGAACATAAAACAAACATTTAGGGCCTGTTTGGATAAACAGCTTATTTGGAGCTTAAAACACAAGTGCTTATCAAAATAAAAAGTTACGTAGAACCTTGTATAAGGCATAAGCTATTTTTCTAACAAAAGATAAAATAAATTTAAATTATTTTCACAAGTTTTCTTTGAGAAATTATAAAAATAAGTTCAGAAAAGTTAATGAATAAAGCTATATGCTGTTTTAATAAGCTCTTTCAAACAGTGTCACAAAACTTATCTTATGGCATAAGATAAGCTCAAATAAGTCAATTCAAACATGCCCTAACTCAATGCCCAATCAATGCCCAACCAAATTGTGGTGGCAGTATAAAAATAAAAGATATAATCATAGGGATACCTGTTTGCAGGAATTTCAATTTTGTAGATAATTTCTTCATCCTCGTCAGCTTCTTCTTCATCCAAATGCTTCTCTTTTCTCACAATCGCTTTTTCTGTAGTCTGATACACAAATGTTGATAATTGATTATTCCTATTAAAAAAACTAATTGAAGCCGAAATTTAGAAGAAAAAAAACGGAAAAATCACTTACAACATCGTCGAGCTCAATTCCAAAACTGAAGCACAGGTCTTCAAATTCCTCTTGCGCTGTAAAAATTCAAACAAGAACAAAGCCAATGTAATCAACTAACATGAAAAATTGTGAATAAAAGCATTGAAATGAAAACGGAAACTCACTGTAAGTTCTTCCTAGAGCCGCAAACAGACGATCCCGCCCTACACTGATAGTAGGCATGGCGTTCTTCTGATCGAAGACTGAATGAGCGCGTTTGCGAGAAGCTGGAACTTGTAGCTTTCACTTCGCCGTGAGTTATGCAACGAAAATTCATCGAAACCCGGAGTTTTGCGTTAGGTTTTTAAATGGGCCGTTAGTTTTCTTTCAAAGCCCAATAAATATGGGCCATAAAGAACCCGGTTCGGCCCAATAAAAATGAGTAGAGTTAGTCACGTATGTGTCAATAAAAACCCTAATTTATTTAAACTCAGGGTTGAGGCTTGTGAGACTAAAACCCTAAAATTCCGAAAAGCAAAGAGAGTGAGATATGGGTAGCGATAGTGAAGGTGAGAAATCGGTGCAGAGAGAGAAGGAGAGGAAGAAGATACTTGCGTTAGCTCCCATAGCCAAACCTCTTGCTGGGAAGAAGCTTTCCAAACGAACACTCAAGCTTGTAAAAAAAGGTAGTTTGCGTCTTTCTTGTTGGTTTTGCCGCTGCTTTTACTTCAAAAATATACTAGTATCTATGAATGATGTTCTTCCGTAAAAAAACACATGCTTGTTGATTTTGTTATGAACTAGAGTGTTATAGCTGGGAATAGCAAAGTTTAGTTTGTTAGTTTTGCTAGTTGAGTTTATCATTATGTGCTGTTGTTGCTCCAACTTATAGGATATTCTTGTAGTTTTGATGTATTTAGATACTAATTAGTAACATTAGCTCTACATTTAGGGTTCTAAGTTACTGTTTACTCATTAGGAATAATTTAACAGACTACTCCATTTGGTTTTGTATGATACTATCTGCTGGGTCTAAATCACTCGTAAATTCAGTGTGTAAATAGTTCCTTTCGTTACATAGTTTGTTCGATAATGGAAAAAGATAAATACATATTTGCATCTTATAAGTGCATAAATTTATGATATCCTTTTTATAAGTGCTGTTTTAATCTGTTGGTTCCTTAAATGTATTTATATGTCTGGAAGAATGCATTGTTTGGTCACTGTCTTACATATACTTGCATGTTTCAGCGGCTGAACACAAGTGCATAAAGAGAGGAGTAAAAGAGGTTGTCAAAAGTATAAGGCGTGGTCAAAAAGGGTTAGTATTAAGTTTTAATTAGATTTATTGTTTCACTAAAAAAGGCGTGCTTAAGGAAGTTCATCTTTCGAGGCCATTCTGTCTCAAAATTTATTTGAAGTGCTGTTTTTTTGTTGTTGGGAAATAAATGAGTGCCCTTATTTTCTGCCTTTTTGTCAATGCAGAGTATGTGTAATAGCTGGGAACATATCTCCAATTGATGTAATCACTCATGTTCCGATTTTATGCGAAGAGGCTGAAATTCCTTATGTATATGTCCCTTCTAAAGAAGTAAGTGACCAACTTTGTTCTTAATCTCTGCTTTTTTATCTTTAAGTTAATATATTATGGACCACGAGTTTCATAAATATCTTTATAATATAATGCACAACTTGTTGGCTTATATTTTCATTCCTTGACATATTTCTCAAGATGTTTAGGACTTTTTGGTTTTGCAACATACCCATGCATTGGGCTTTTTTTTGCTTTAAAAAACTGTTATTCCATATATGTTGAGAAACAACAATTGCTGTAGATGAAAGTTCATATACTAAATTGTTTAGATCATTTTCCAGGACCTTGCAACTGCAGGAGCAACAAAGAGGCCTACTTGTTGTGTTTTAGTGATGACCAAACCTTCAAAGGGTGAACTTGCATTAGAGGTGCAAGAGAAACTAAAGTCTGAGTTTGATCAAGTTGCATCTGATATCACTGAGCTTACTACTTCACTGTTTTGAAACAAACACAAATGTATTTGGAATGTGGTTTACAATGGATTAACATATTGGTAGTGTGACATTCCATCATTTTGATCTAGGGATAATGAAATTTCTATTGCCTTATTTTTAAATGTTATTGCTTGCTTATCTTAAGGGAAAATGCTAAAACTTATTTAAAAGGATTATGCACGAATGATTGTACTGTGATTGATTACCGTACATGCGAATGTGAATGTTTGTTTCCATTCGTAACTATCTTTTGTGCTAAATGCTTTGACAATTTCTGTCAAATATCACATTGCTTGCTCATAATTTCGCAGCAATTATATTAAACACTTCAATCTGGCACAGTTTGAGACATTGTAGTAATGCTGGTTGGTGGATGTAAGTTAGAGCATATGACTTATACTATCTCCCCATCTATTTAACAATGAGTTTATAAAATATATTGACTTATATGAATGATTCTTTCAATATTAAATTCAATTGATATAGGCGACTTTATCACAAAATGAGTTAGTTCAAGGGAAACGATCAAACTCAACCTACACAATGATTGAAACAAACACTCTAAAGTTGATAAAGTTCAAAGACAACAATGGGATTATAAGAGCATGAACCAACATGCTTGGAAGTTGACTTGGAAATTTCTCGTACTCTTTTAAAAAACTGTCAGGTATCCAAGGTAGTTGCCTTCCTGGCAAATCCAACCATTAACTCCAAACCAAAAGTTTCTCTTTAATTTAATTGATGATGTTGAGTAGGTGTCTTGATTGAAATTTTTTCCATGTTTTATATTCCTGTCTTTCTTGTCTTGTAATCAATATTTCTTTTATTTATAATATTCAATTTTACTTGTTTACGAGATGTGTTTTTTGTGTTGTTTATTTTCTCTTCCTTTGTTTAATGAACATGTCCCAAAGTTCAAACGTGATAATACATGAACAATGAAATATGGATGTCTTTTAAGTTATGTAAGTACCACAAAGTGAATAATACTTGGACATTAGTATAATTTGTAGTCTGCATGATCATTTGAATGTGTTGCAAGTTAATTGCTTGCAACTTTGAAAATGAAAAGATTTGAAAGTTGTGGTTTTATGTGTTTTTGTATGCAATGTCGTTTAATGGTTTTGATGATGATAATTCTTCAAATGATTTCTAATTATGAAATCTGAACAAGAAGGAAATATCACAAGTCTCATAAAGACAAACGTTTTAAGTTTTGAGTGAAAGTGATGGATAAAGTTTAATCATGCAGAGGGATGCGAAGATATGAAGTTGTGATCTTAAAGATGTAAATGTGTGAAAGTTTGTTTGATCATGTGCTTAGTGTTTTCTCTACACATACACAGTATTTCAAAATATATCACTTTTTTGAACAAAAACTCTTAATATTTTCATCTCTAACTCTTTTATAAAATGCTTTTTCACTAAACTCTTTTTATATTTTCATCTCTCATTCTTATATAAAATGCTTTTTTACTAGAGTTGTCTTAGTTTAGAGAGTGAAAAGTTTCTTCTAAGAGTTATGTTGTATTGATGTTGTGTTGCAATTGTTTATTCAATGACATATTTCTCTTGTGATCTTTTTGTAATAGATTTGAGGGTTGTTAGATAAACTTGTAAAAATTATTGTTTAAGGTTATTGAGTTGAATACGTGTAAAAGCTTTAGTCCTTTGTGGAAGGTTATTGAAGTAAACTTGTGTAAAAGCTATAGGTTGTTTGTGAAAGATTTTTTGGTTGATCTTGTGCAAAAGCTCAAGTAATTTTGTAAGATTATTTAGGTTGATCTTGTGAAATAGTTCAAAATTCTTTTAGTAGAAATCTCAAGGATTTTTTTTTTTGTAAATTAGAGTAGGTTAGGTCGTTTATGCCTAATAAGTATAAACATCTTGAAGAGCGGTTGAGCGCGATGGAAATCCAAAAGGTGTCAGGTTTGGACTTTGAGGAATTGGGACTAGTGTCGGGGATTGTGATTCCTCCGAAATTCAAAGTGTTTATATTTGCCAAATATGACGGAGTGTCATGTCCTAAAATGCATCTTCAGTCATACGTGAGAAAAATTCAACCCCACACTGCTGATAAAGACTTATGGGTATATTTCTTCCAAGACAGTCTGTCTGGTACTCAACTTGACTGGTTTTACCAACTGGAAAGAGCCAACGTTCACAATTGGGAAGATCTTGTTGCAGCTTTCTACAAGCAATACCAGTACAATGCTGATTTGGCGCCTACCCGTACTCAACTCCAGAATATGGCCATGGTTTTCAATGAAGGTTTCAAGGACTATGCACAAAAATGGAGAGATTTGACTGGAAGAGTTCAACCCCCTCTGTCTGAGAGAGAATTGGTAGACATGTTCTTAGGCACCTTATCTGGTCTCTTCTTCAATCATTTAATCGGAAGTTCATCTACAGGGTTTACTAAACTAATATTCACTGGAGAGAGGATAGAAGTCGGTATAAAGAATGGAAAGATTCAGAAGGACACATCCTCTTCTACAGCTGTAAGGAAGCCCTTTATCGGAAAGAAAGAGGTGATTGCCGTATATCCGCAAAGAAACCAAGATAGAGCCGAACGCCGACCAATGGTGGGGGCTGTTTTGATTCCAAAGCCTACGTCTGATCAGCAAAGAAGTAATCAACCATGGGTAGAAAGGTCAGTCAGGCAGTTTACCAGAATCAACATGACTCTGTCTCAAGTATTACCTCATCTACTAAGATCCAACTTGGTAACCTTGAAAGAAGTTTCGAAAAACCCCAATACAACATCTCCACATTATCATTCCAATGCTCGTTGCGCATATCACTCTGAAAGTCCTGGTTACGATACTAATAACTGTTGGGCCTTGAAGAACAAAATACAAGACCTCATTGAAGCAAAAGAAATTGAGTTTGATGCGCCTGAGAAGCCAAATGTTATTTCTGCTTCTATGCTCAGACATGACCATAATACTAATGCCATTGAAGAAGGATTGTTTTTTACTTCAGTTAATGAACCCATGATCCCACTTCTGACTGTTAAAATGAACTTGTTGAATGTCGGTGTGTTCCCGGACTGTGATGAAGATTGTCGTTTCTGTTTATCCTCACCAACTAGTTGTCCTTTGTTGAAAGTAGATGTTCAGTGTCTGATAGATAACAAAGAGATTTTGTTTGAAAAGACTCATGTTACACCTGTTTCTTTTGAAGATATTTTTATCATTACCATTTCCGCCAAT